GGGGAGCTTGAGTGGAAGTGCAGCAGCCTGATCGAACCCCCAGCCCATATGTGATGCTCACGTCACAGGCAGAGACTTAACCCCCTATGCCACAGGGTGTAGGGAAGCTTTTATTTTTACCATTGTGGGCAACGAGGCCTGAGGAGGTGGGTTGCGGTGGGAGGTGGTTGCAGCCTGCAGAGCCGAGTCCGGGTTTGCAGTTTCGTTCTGCAGGAAGCACAGGTGGGGCCGGGTAGGCGCGTGCAGGGCAACCTTGCAGAGCAGCGGCTGCCTTAGAGGGGCGCCAGGGGCTGCCGTCCAGGAGCTCGTTGTCATCGTGGCGCAGTGACGGGCAGTGCAGGCTGGGCTGTGCTCCAGGCTGACAGTGGCGGCCTGCGGGGGAGAGGACGGGGTGCGGGAGAGGCGGAGGGAGGCCCTGGTTTTCTCCTGGAGGGGTTTGCCGGTGAGACCGAGGGCCAGCTTTGGGGAGGGACAGGCAGAGTTGTGCTGGAGGAGGGGGCTGGGCAGGGGTCAGGGTCTTGGCGGCAGGGGGGCTGATGTGGGGAGGGTGTGGGGCTCCTGGCTTGGTGGCAGGGAGAGAATGAGGTGGAGGTAAGGGTTAGGCCCTTCCTTGCATGGAGACCTGCAAAATACTGAGCAGCCTTGGAGCCTGAGGATGCCGGTGAGAGTAGGCGCTGCCTGGGAGCCACAGTGGGGTTGGCTCTGCGGTCGTCCACGCTGCAGTGTTACAGCATGAGCGGCAGGGTCGGGGGTTAAAGTAGGGCCCTCAGCACCATGAGTGGCAGGGTCGAGGGCTGCAGGAGGTGTAGTGGAGGACTCCTGTGCAGGGGAAAATTAGGGCCGTCGGCACCACGTTCCATGTGTTTTGGGGATACCTATGGGTTTGGTGTCTCATGTCCGTGTCCCTGAGCAGCAGGAAGGAGAAGCATTCCTCCCAGGAGTTAGTTTCCCATCAGCTTCAATCTGCTGTTCCTGAATCCTGCACGTGGAGGGCCCCTGCTGTGTGTGGGGAGGCCCCAGCGTGCCGTGTCCCTGTGCCTGCAAGTGTAGCCAGCTTGTTGGTGGAAATCTCTTCCGTCCTTTGAGGTCATTTGTTTTTCCTTTGTTTAGGGTGATTCCGGAGGCCCTCTGGTCTGTGAATTCAACGAGACGTGGATTCAGGTGGGGATTGTGAGCTGGGGTGTGGATTGTGGTGATGCTCCCCTTCCGACAATGTTCACGGATGTTAGCGAGTTTAGGGACTGGATGCAGTTCATCTTAAGTCAGGCTCCGTGCGTGCATTCCGTGGGGGTCTGCCTAGTGCTCCTGGGCCTGGTGCTGCTGCTGGCCGTGCCGGTGACCCGGTGACCTCCTCTGCCCACTCCCCCCTGCTTCCCAGCCCCCACTTCCGTGTCCCCCAGCCCCCAGCATCCTCCCCTTCCTTCTCGGTGTCCTTGCCTCAAGCTCAGGTCGGCAGCCGTGGGCTCTGTGGAGATCACACAGCACCGTGTGCACGGACACCGGGTCCCGCCGGCTGCCTCTGCTGGTGACCTGGTGACCTGGTCTCCTGCGGGGCCGGGCTGCCCTGGCTGCGCTCTGCCTGCTGGGCAGGAAGGGGTGAAGTGATGCTGCCGAGAAGACGGCTCCCCTGCCCGGTGGAGCCGCTGACCGCCTGCCGTCCTGGGGAGCGTCTGGCATGAGCAGAGGCGTCACCAGGAGTGAGCCAAGCCCCAGACGTGGCTCCGGTTCCGGGCTCTCACCTGAGACTTTGTCAGGCAGTCAGCGTGGGCTGCTTGGAGGGAGTGAAGCAGGCACTGCCAGATCCGTGCAGATGCGTGAGGCCTGAGCTCTGCCTCTGGCTCAGCTGTCTGGGGCTGGAGAAGTCCCCTGCCCCCCTGGGGACCCACCGTCACGGAGAGGCTCAGCCTCCCAGGCCGTCTCGGGGCACCCCTTCCTCAGGGCCCCAGTGCCACATCCAGGGACGCCCCAGGTTTTGTTGAGGCATCGTGTTTGTAGATGCCGCAGATGTCATGAATAAATGTTTGCTGAGTGTCCCGTGTGTTCTGAGGCTCGGCTCGTCTGGGCAGGTCAGTGCTCCATAGAGAGTGAGCTCCTGTTCACCTCGGGAAGATGTGCTGGTCCTCGTTATTATGGAAGATTTCTGTGAGGGACCGTCTGCGTTCTCTGACACGTGGCCCCTGGCGCTGTGAGCGCAGCTGTGTCGTGTTTTAGCTGTCCGTGGCTCTAAGCTGGCAGGCTTGTTGCTGTGTTTAGCAGCCTCTGCAGTGAGGACAGGACAGTAAGGGGGACAGAGTTGGGACATGGCACACACGGGTGCCTTGTGCCTCTCCCTGCTGCACTGTAGTAGATGTGCCTGAGGGAGCACCACGGGCTATGGGCTGGACCTTGATCCCTAGGTGCTGGTACCTGTGGGGAGGAGGGTGGGAGGAAGAGTTCCCTGTGGCAGAGAGAAGGCTTTGTGCCTCTTACTCCCCAGCTAGCGTCCCGAGTCACATGTTGGCCGCCAGTACCCCAGCCTTTATCTCCCAAGATCACGTCTGTCTCAGTCATTGCCAGAAAGCCCAGGTGTCAGAGGTCCTCGGCGGGAATCTGTGGCAGTCCTGCCTCTGCCTGAGGGAGGCTGGGGCTGCAACCCTCTGCTTTCGCACCCCCCGGTCACAGCTCATTCCAGGTCGTCCTACGTCTCATCAATCTAGAGAAATGCCCGTTAGCAGACATGGAGCCCAAGGCTGGCCGCCCACCTCCGATGTTATTCGTCCTCTCTCTCTGATACCTCCGGTTGGCCCCTTTCCATCTGGTACCTGTGCTGGCAGTGCCTCTGTGGTCTTCCCTTCCTTTTTGCTTCTGTGTCATCAGTTAAGCTGCAAAACAAGCCTTCCCTCCTCCTATGAGCCAGTGTGTACCTCACTGTGCGGTGTCAACTGACAGCAGTTTGTTTGGGTTCTTACTCTGTGTGCTTAGCTCACTGCTTATAGGTAGTCAAGGTTGCACCTCAAGGAAAGTTACAATTCCCTAATAATTTTTATCTTTTTTTTAAAACAAGATTTTATTTATTTCAGAGGTACAGTTATAGACAGAGAGAGGGAGAGACAGCGTGAAAGGTCTTCCATCTGCTGGTTCACTCTCTAAATGGCTGCAACAGCTGGAGCTGGTCTAATCCAAAGCCAGGAGCTTTATCCGGTCTCCCACATAGATGCAGGCGTCCAAGCACTTGGGCCATCCTCCACTTCCCTTCCAGCCCATACCAGGGAGCTGGATTGGAAGAGGAGCAGCTGGGACACGAAGTGGTAACCACATGAGATGCCAGTGCTGCAGGTGGTGGCTTAGCTGACTATGCTGCAGCGCCAGCCCCATGAAGTTTCTTTGTATGGGAACACACATAAACAAAGATTACTTGCTGAGGGCTGATGAGAATTTTTTAAAAAAATATTCATTTATTTGTAAATAAGAGTTATAGAGGAAGGGAGGGAGGTGAACTAGAGAGAGAGAGAGAGCGCTCTTCCATCCACTGGTTTACTCTCCAAATGAGCACAATGGCTAGGGCTGTACCAGGAAGAAGCCAGGAGCCAGGAGCTTCATGTGGGTCTCCTGCATGGATGGCAGAGGTCCAAGTACTTGGGTCATCTTTTACTTCTTTCCCAGGCACATTAGTAGGGAGCTCGATGGGAAGTGGTACAGCTGGTACTCAGACCTGCACCCATGTGTATGTTGGTGCTGCAGTAGCAGCAGCTTAAGTCCCTAGGCCACGCCATGGCCTTGATGAGAATTTTGATCAGGGCCTCACAGGAACCTAACCCTATATTTCCACTGGGAGCAAAGTTCCTGTAGTTGCTAACCCAGTGCCCCGGTGACTTTATGAATCATCGCTGCTGTGAGTTAGAAGATTCAAGTGTGTTTCCTAGAGTTTTGCTGGTTAGTTGGGCAGTTGCGCTGTTCTAGGCTGAGCTCCCTGCCATGGCGGCATTCCTGTGATAGCTCCGCTGGGGCTAGGATGTTCCAAGTGGGCCTTGCTCACCAGGCAGTGGTGCTGTGGGAGTGTGGAGGGGAGGGGCCTCGGTATCCTGCAGTGGGCATGACAGGTGGGCTCAGGACTCAGGTGTTTCAAGCATGTTAAAAGAGAAGCTGCAAAGCTTCTGAATGCTAAGTTCATGAGTTACACACTTCCCTTCTACCACGCTCTGTTGGACAGAGCGTGTCCCAAAGCCCGCTCACAAGCAGTGCCTGTGAAGAACTAAGTTCTGTTTCTTGGTGAGCATAGACAAGGTTCTGAGGCCAGATTTCCTGACCTATGACAGTGAGGGCGATACTGAAGAGCAGTGAAACCACACAATATGGCAACATTCACAGCCTCTGTGGGTTGCATTTGTTGAGCTGGGTTGTCGGCACAGGGATGGTCCCTCTGTGATGCTGACTTCAGCTACATGAATGTTCTGGGTGGTGTTGGGAGCACTTTTCCTTTACCAGACGTGAGCCTGCAAACAGCCGTGTAGAACCCATGAGTGAAATGGTGTGGTGTGAAGCTTCGTGGGGCGGGGAGGTGTTTCCACTGCAGCCCGTGAGGTTAATCACGTATTCGAAGTCCCGTCCTTCACAGCATAACCTAGACGGGTTATGGATCTCCTAAGGGGGATCGGGATCAGGAATCCTGGGAGAGCAGCGTTCCCTTGACCCCTGACCCCACGTTCCCGCCAACACGAGTGGAGGGGCGTGTGCCGCCGCCAGGGGGCGCAAAGGAGTCTGTAGCGGTGCCCATGGCAAACCTAAAAGGTCTTCGTGGGGGCTTCTTCCTGTGCCTCCTGCTGTGGCTCCAGCTGGCTCAGCCCGTGCTCTGTGTGGCCGTAGGTGGGCGGGGAGAGGACATGGCTGGGCCGGGCGGCACACAGGGCCGGGGATCCGGAAGGTGGTGGTAGTGTGGCGGGCACCACAAGCCAGGAGGAGGAGGAGAAGGCCTAGGAGTCGCCGGGCTCTCTTCCCTCCCTCGCTGCACTGTTCTTCTGCAGGTGTGGGTTACCGAAACAACGAGGCTTCTGGGGTGACCGTGCTGAGCTCAGAGTCCCCGGGACCCCTGGCACCACGGAAATCTGTGAGGATCCCGGAAGTCACTGCACCTCCGGGGTCTCCAGCGCCAGCTGGGCCTGCGGGACTCCGGGTCAGGTCAGCACCCACAGGACGACAAGACTTGTGGCATTCTGGGGCCACTCGGCCTGCGTGGCTGTTTCCTCTAGGTACTGCATGGGGCCAGGTCTATAGGGGTTGAGCCTGGCTGGGGAGGTTGTAGAGCCTGAGCCTGTGGTGTGGGGTTTGAATGATGGGAGCTCCCTGAGGGTAACCTGCTGTGCCCTGGGCTCCTGGGTGGAGATGGTCGTGGGTTCACTTCCGGTGCCCTCTCTTTACCGAGCCAATCAGTGTGCGGCAATAGAACCATGAGAGTAGTTGGTGGAGCGCCGGCCATGGAGGGAACTTGGCCTTGGCAGGTGAGCCTGAGGATAAATGATGCCCACGTATGCGGAGGCTCCCTCATCTCCAGCCGGGTGGTCCTGACTGCCGCGCACTGCATAGCTACGTGAGTATTTGGGGAAGGTAACATAGGTCCTGATTTGTTGACCTGTAGCCAGTCCTCTTCCCCACCCCAGCCTCCTGTTCCTCACATAGTGATGCCCCATAGTTGTTCAGTTGGGGAGAGCCAGGATTAGCATTGCTGCCAAGGCCTCAGCTGCTGCTGCTGCTGCTCTGGGCTCAGACAGGGAGCCCCTTGTACTTAGGGGTCTTGGGCGGGGCTTTTGTTTGAGGGGGAAGTGGCTGAAGTGTCTGTCATGGGATGATGGGGCCTGACAGGGAAGCCCTGGAATTGTGGAGGGGAGTAGGTAGCCCCTCCGGATTTCTGTGAAGACCCTGTCCTTTCTCCATAGCCATCAGCGATATACAGTGAAGCTGGGAACCTCGAAATTGTATACGGAGGACCCAAAGGCTGTGGTGGTGCCTGTTCGTCACATTGTAGTCCACCAGGATTTCAATGGTCGCTATTTCATTAATGACATTGCACTTGCTGTGCTGGCCTACTCCGTGAATTTCTCTTCGTACATCCAGCCTGTGTGCTTAGCAGAGAAGCTGATGGAAGTGAAAGCTGGGACCCCATGCTGGGTCACGGGATGGGGCCGAACAATAGGAATAAGTAAGACTGATGGGCAGGATGCGGTGGGGCAGCCTGGTGGCCTGGGGCAGCTTTGCAGCTCTGCGTAGGGCAGGGCGGCCATAATGGAAGTGGACAGGAGAGGGTGGAGCAGATGCCCTCGGGGAGTCATCTGCATCTGCCTAAGACTCCCATTGTCACGCAGGACCTGTGGTATGGGTGCTGAGGTTGATGGGCTATGTGCCTGCCTCATGGGGTGGGCTGTGTGTCCCCAGGTGGGAGGTAGAAGGCAGAGCCACCCTGCCTGTGGGCTGCAGGGCCGCCTCTCCTTAGAGAAAGGCTGGGTGTGGTCGTCTTCAGGCAGTGCCTGTGTGAGAGTCGGATGCTGTTCTAGAAGGGAAAGACGCTCTGCTGATGCTCAGGGCTGTCAGACGCTGGGTCTTCCGTCTGTGGTCATGAGGGTGCTCGTACCCCTTCCCCCTTGATGTTGTAGTGCGCCTGAATTTCTTCCGTGTGAACAGAGATGACGCTCACTGCCTTTGCTGCGTCTTTGGCCTCAGTGTGACCCTCACCATCAAGCCCCAGAGAGGTGCTTAGGTGCAGTGGATTTACTGCTCAACGGTCTTTCCTCAGGGTCATCACCAAAACCCAATGACCTTCAAGAGTCGCCACAAGACATTGTTGACGATGACGACTGCAAGGAGAAAATCGAGAAAGCTGTGGGATGCTACGGATTTGGTGTGACGAAAGGGATGATCTGTGGCTTCCGACTGGGCAAAAGTCCGTGCTGGGTCAGTCTCTGTATTTCCCTTGTTTCTTCTTTCCTAGGGCCATGCCCAGAGTTGGTTTCGCGTCCCTGATTCAGCCCTTAAATAAGGAGATTCATGGCAGAAACTCACCATGTCTCTGGGAGGTGTCACTGCTGGTCTTCCCATAAGGAGCAGCCCTTGCACGGTGGGTGGGTGGGAAGTGCGGTGGGCAATGCTGATAGACACGTTGTGTGCAATAACTTTCTCTGATGTGGCATTCACTGGTTTTGTGTCCCTGAGTTCCAGGAAGGAGAAGCATTCCTCCAGAGTGTTAACAGCTTTCCCATAGCTTTAATCTGTTACTGAATCCTGCACGTGGAGGGTCCCTGTGGTGTGTGGGGAGGCCCCAGCGTGCTGTGTCCCTGTGCCTGTCAGGGCAGCCAGCCTGCCTGGATGGGGCTTCTCCTCCCTCCCTGGAATTTGTGTCTTTTTTCTTTCTCTAGGGTGATTCTGGGGGTGCTCTTGCCTGTGAATTCAACGAGACGTGGATTCAGGTGGGAATTGTGAGCTGGATAGTAGACTGCGGTGACACTCCCCTTCCTGCAATGTACACCAGGGTTAGTGAGTACAGGGACTGGGTGGACACCATCTTAGGTCAGGCTCCGTGCGTGCATTCCGTGGGCGTCTGCCTAGTGCTCCTGGGCCTGGTGCTGCTGCTGGCCGTGCCGGTGACCCGGTGACCTCCTCTGCCCACTCCCTCCTGCTTCCCAGCCCCCACTTCCGTGTCCCCCAGCCCCCAGCATCCTCCCCTTCCTTCTCGGTGTCCTTGCCTCAAGCTCAAGTCAGCAGCCATGGGCTCTGTGGAGATCACACAGCACTGTGTACACGGACACTGGGTCCCGCCGGCTGCCTCTGCTGGTGACCTGGTGACCTGGTCTCCTGCCGGGCTGGGCTGCCCTGGCTGCGCTCTGCCTGCTGGGCAGGAAGGGGTGAAGTGATGCTGCCGAGAAGACGGCTCCCCTGCCCGGTGGAGCCGCTGACCGCCTGCCGTCCTGGGGAGCGTCTGGCATGAGCAGAGGCGTCACCAGGAGTGAGCCAAGCCCCAGACGTGGCTCCAGTTCCGGGCTCTCACCCGAGACTTTGTCAGGCGGTCAGCATGGGCTGCTTGGAGGGAGTGAAGCAGGCACTGCCAGATCTGTGCAGATGCGTGGGGCCTGATCTCTGCCTCTGGCTCAGCTGTCTGGGGCTGGAGAAGTCCCCCTGCCCCTAGTGGGGACCCACCGTCACAGAGAGGCTCAGCCTCCCAGGCCGTCTCGGGGCACCCCTCCCACAGTGCCCAGTGGCCACCCAGGACACCCCCACCCCAAATGTATTGAGTGAGGCATTATGGAGTGTGGAGGCTTCAGCTGAATAAATGTTGCAGAGTGTCCCGTGTGTTCCGAGCTCGGCTCGTCTGGACAGGTTGGTGCACCCATACGCTCTGTGGAGCGCCAGCTCCCATTTACCTCGGGAGGATGTGCTCTGTGATTCTTGTGTTGGAAGACACACGTGTGGAGCTGTCTGCAGGTGCCTTAGGCAGGGGGTCCCCAGGCTGGATCCTGTTATAGCCGTCAGCGTCTCTAGAGCTGGTTAGTTGTACCTGGTTTAGCAGCCTCTGCGGTGAGGAGCAGGGCAGGAAAGGGGACGGAGTGTGGGACATGGCACACTCAGGTGCCTCGTGCCTGTCCCTGCTGCTCTGTAACAGATGTGCCTTGAGGAAGTACCATGGGCTAAGGACTGGGCCTTGATCCCAAAGATTAACCATAAGGAGGAGGGCGAGTCGTAGGGGACCACTGTGTGTGTGAGAGAGAAGGGGTTGTGCTTTTCATTCCCCACTAGTGTTCTGAGTCATCCATTGGGCTCTGTCGTGCATCTGTGTTGATCATTGGCAGACACCCCAGCTGTCAGAGGTACTCAGTGGGTAGTCAGTGATAGTCCTACCTGCTGCCCGAGAGAGGCAGGGACTCGGACCCTGTGCTTTTTGTGTGGTACCTGGTCACAGCTAGTCTCAGTAAGTCCTGGGTCACGCCATTCTAGACAAGTAGCCACTGGGGCTATGTGGATCCCCACAGCTGGCCATCTGTCTCCAGTGTTACTTGCAGCTCTCTCTCTGATAAGTCTAACTGGTCGGTCCTGCTGGCGTTGCCTTTCTTTTCACTTTCTCCTCATCAGGTAAGCTGTCACAGGAGCCTCTCCTGCCTGTGCAGCCACTGTGGACTTCACTGTGCAGGGTCGTTCACGGGCATTTGCACGCGTCCTCCCTCTATGTGTTCATTTCACAGTTTCCACAGTGGGCAAGTTTGTTCCTCAGGGCCAAGTTAGAGTTCCCTAATCATTCATTATCTTTTGTTGTGCAGCACGAAGTTTAGCAGAGGATGAGTCTGGAGCTGTGAGAGAACTTCAGAAAATTCCTTGCAAACACATACATTAAATATTGTACGGGAATTTCAAAGTATTTACACCAAATACATTCTTAAGTCATTTCTCAAAAATTTCGAAGCCATCACAGATTGCTGAATGAGGGAGTGAGTGAGTGAATCCATGATGCATAAATGGCTTCCCACACGGCCTCTGTCCCCCTGCTGCTTCCTCTGCCTGCCCTCTCACCATGCTCCGTCCCCGTTCCCTTCCAGGTTGCCTCAGAGACGAGGAGAGAGCGCAACAGGGTGGGAAGGCTCCAGCCCCTTTGCGGGGGAAGTCCCAGAACTGAGAAGTTTGGGGTTACAGATAAAGGTACCCTTGGTCTGCAAATATTAGGGTGCGAGTTTTGCTTGAGGGGACTCAGAACCAGTTACAGCGTCTTGGTCACTAAGGAACTGCCCTGGTTCTTGGGAAAGACAGACACAGACCCGAGAGAGCTGAACATCAATGGCCAGGCCAATCTAAGAAGTTTTTATCTTAATAAATTAGACTGGTTTGCCTTTGAGTGATCTGGCAATGGTCTGGGGCCACAAGTTAGAGGTGGATCCCAGGAAAGAGGGCAGAGGTGGTCTTCAGGAGGACCCTTAGTAAGTGGCTTGGAGGCTGAGTAGAGGCAGCCTCTGGGAGTGACAGGTAACATGGGGCAGAGGGGTCAGGTGGCAGACTAAGTTTCGCTAAGAATGATTACTCTGGGGCAGGCATTGTGGCGTAATAGGTAAAGCTGCTGCCATACTGTGTGGGCACTGGTTCGTGTTCCAGCTGCTCCACTTCTAATCCGTCTCCTTGATAATGTGCCTGGGAAAGCAGCGGAGGATGGCCCAAATGTTTGGCCTCTTGCGCCTTTGTGGGAGACCTGGAAGAAGCTCCTGGCTCCTGGCTTCAGGGTGGCCTAACTCTGGATACTGGGGAGTAAACCAGCAGATAGAAGATATGTCTTTCTCTATATCTCTCTGTAACTTCTGTTTTTCAAATAAAAAATAGTATCTTAAAAAAAACCCAAAAAACAAAAATCATGGGCCAGCACTGTGGCATAGTAGCTTAAGGCTCTGCCTGTGGTGCTGGCATCCCTTGTGGGTGCTAGTTAGAGTTCCAGCTGTTCAACTTCCAGTCCACTTCTCTGCTATGGCCTGGGAAAGCAGCAGAAGATGGCCCCAAGTCCTTGGGCCCCTGTACCCATGTGGGAGACCTGGAAGAAGCTCCTGGCTCCTGGCTTTGGGTCAGCCCCGCTCCAGTCACTACAGCCATCTGGGGAGTGAACCAGTGGCTAGAAGACCTCTCTCTCTTTTGTCTCTTCCTCTGTCTGTAACTCTGCCTCTCAAATAAATAAATAAATCTTTAAAAGAAAACAAAAATCTGCAACAGTGAAGCACACAAACCACTGGGCCTATAGGGACACGTGACGTACAACACTGAGCATTTCTGCTGCCCAGATTATGAGTATGGGATCCCAGAGTCTTCAAGGGATGAAGCTCCAGGAGACAGAAGAGTGCATTTGAGGAGCCACCACAATGGCGCACCTGGTTAAACTAGCTGTGATGCGAGCATCCCATGTGAGCTCTGACTCAAGTCCTGACCACTTCTCATCCAGATGCTTGCTGATGTGCCTGGGCAAGCAGAGAAGATGGCCTAAGTGCTGGGACTCCTGTACCCACGTGGCAAATCCAGATGGAGTTCCAGCTTCCTGACTTCAGCTTGGCTTAGCCCCCGCCATTGTGGCCATTAAGGGAGTAAAACCAGTGGATGGAAGACCTCTGTTTCCCTCTAACTGTGCCTTTGAAATAAGAGTTAAGACTTTAAAAAAGAGTGTGGTGGAGAGTGCCTCTGAAGCTGTGTGATGATGGCAGTCATGCAGGGTACAGTGTGGCGTCGGGGAAGCAGCTTGGAGTGGTCAACCCATGAAGGCACACGAGGAAGGAGCCAGAACTGAGACTGATGGTGGCACGAGAGGGTGGAGGGCAGCTGTGTGTAGGGAGACCCCGGGCCCTGCAGAGGGCCAGCAGTGCATTTGTTGAGCTGGGTTGTCGGCACAGGGATGGTCCCTCTGTGAGGCTGACTTCAGCTACATAAATGTTCTGGGTGGTGTTGGGAGCACTTTTCCTTTACCAGACGTGAGCCTGCAAACAGCCGTGTAGAACCCATGAGCGAAATGGTGTGGTGTGAAGCTTCGTGGGGCGGGGAGGTGTTTCCACTACAGCCCGAGAGGTTAATCACGTATTCGAAGTCCCGTCCTTCACAGCATTACCTAGACGGGTTATGGATCTCCTAAGGGGGATCGGGATCAGGAATCCTGGGAGAGCAGCATTCCCTTGACCCCTGACCCCACGTTCCCGCCAACACGAGTGCAGGGGCGCGCGCCGCCGCTAGGGGACGCAAAGGAGTGTGTGGCGGTGCCTGTGGCAGTGCCCATGGCGTCCCTAGAGGGTCCCCGCAGGGGCTTCTTCCTGTGCCTCCTGCTGTGGCTCCAGCTGGCTCAGCCCGTGCTCAGTGAGGCTCTGGGTGGGCGGGGAGAGGACGTGGCTGGGCTGGGCGGCGCACAGGGCTGAGGACACGGAAGGTGGTGGGGACGGCGGTGGGGTGTGGCGGACACCACAGGCCAGGAAGAGGAGGAGGAGGAGGCCGAGGGAGCGCCAGGCTCTCCTGTCTTCCTCGCTGGGCTGTTCTGCAGGTGGGGGTTCCCAAGCCAAGGAGGAATCTGGGGTGACCGTGCTGAGCCCAGAGCCCCCGGGACCCCTGGCACCAGGGAAATCCGTGAGGATCCCGGAAGTCACTGCAGCTCCGGGGTCTCCAGCGCCGGCAGGGCCTGCGGGACCCCGGGTCAGGTCAGCACCCACAGGGCGACAGGACTTGGAGCAGGCTGGGACGTCTCCAGCTGTGGAGCTGTTTCCTCGAGGTACTGCGTGGGGCCAGGCCTGTGGTGCGGGGTTCGAGAGATGGGAGCTCCCTGAGGGTAACCTGCTGTGCCCTGGGCGGCCTGGGCGGAGATGGCGGGGTGGGGGCGGCGGCTTCACGTCCAGTGCCTTCTTTCTACCGAGCCAATCAGCGTGCGGCAATAGAACCGTGAAGATAGTGGGTGGAGCGCCGGCCCCGGAGAGGAGGTGGCCCTGGCAGGTGAGCCTGCAAGTCCATGATCGCCACATATGCGGAGGCTCCCTCATCACCAGCCGGTTCATCCTAACTGCGGCCCACTGCATATCTTTGTGAGTGTCTGGGGCTAGAAATGTGGACCTCTGACCTGTGTTGACCTGATGCCAACCAATGTCCCTGCCTGGTGCCCATATGTTCAGTTGGGGGTAGCAAGGATTGGCATTGCTTCCAAGGTCCCAGCTGCTACTGCTGCTCTGTCCACCCCTTGAGCCCCACTGGCCAGAGTGCTC